TAAGTAACCTCATCAGGTTCAAGCCCTTCAACTTTCATCCTCTCGAAGAGCTTTATTGCCTCTTCTATACTTCCATGTTTTGCATAGCCATCTATCAAAGCAGTATAGATTGCCACGTTTGCTTTACACCCCTTGCGATTCATATTATTGAAAACAGCATACCCTTCAAGGCACTTACCATTTCTACAGAGCCCTCCAATCACCAAACTGTAAGCATGAGGCGGAACTTCCAGACCCTTCTCCTCCATTTCATGATACAAACTCAAACAAGACTCAAAGTCCTCTGCCGAATAACATGCTTGTATCAAAGTCATGTAGGTTATCTTGTCCGGTTTTATATCTCTTGCCTCCATAGCTTTGAATCTGTCAATTGCTTTTTGGGTCATCCCCGCTTTACAATACCCTTTAATCATAGTATTATAAGTCACTACATCAGCTCCAATTCTCCCATTCTCCATAACCTCAAAAACCCTCTCTGCAGATTCAATAAACATGGAACTTACCAACCCATTCATCAGAAAATTATATGTATACAAACTTGGTTCAATTCCATTCTCCTTCATCCGACGCCACACCCACAACAACTCTTCCACCATCCCAAGCACTCCAAAGCTCTTAATCAAAGAATTTGCTGCTGAAACAGTCATCACAAATTCGATTTCCTTCAGCTCATTAGAAACATACCTGATTCTATCCAAATCGCCAGACAAAGACAAAACACTAATCAAAGAGACATAACATTCAAGCTTATGTGCATACTTCTCTTGCCTACCAGCCCAGCAAAAGAACCTCAAAACAACATCAGGTTTATCAAGAAGCGCGACTGATTTCAAGATAAACGAAACAAAGTTTGGCGATAGTCTGACCAAGAACTTTTTGCAAAAAGAATCTAAATTGAACTCCATGTCAGATGATCCATCAAGGAGATTAAGAATGTGGCTTACCCATGGAGATGGTTGCAGATTCTGTGTGCTTCGTACTAAATCAGAAACGTCACTGAAGGGCTCTATCCACTCGGGAGGAGGAACAGAGTTCCCAGTGAAGACCCACCCGAAGTTTGGGTTGGGGATTGATGCTGCGCACCGTTTTGGAGGGTTTGGTGCTGACCCACCATGTTTGTACGGATTTAGAGGTTGTAGAAAGCTGCGGGTAGGATGGAGAAAGGTTGCAGAGAAAGGTCTCAACCGTAGGGTTCTTCTCATCAGGGGTTTTGGCCTTTTGGGAACCGGAGCTTCTACGAGATAAACTATGTGTTCAGTTTCAGTTTGGAGTGTTCAGTCACGGTTTATAGTTTTTGATAGTTTATGTAGTTTAATTTTTATTAAAAGAATAATTCTTTATTATACGAAAAAATAATAAATAAAACTATGCACTATATAATTTATTTTATTTTATTTTATAAATTTTATAAATAAAATTATTATTTGAATCTGGTAAATAGAAGTTAATTTTTTTATTACAAATATATATAATATTTATTTCCTTAAATTTTTTATTTATTGCTAACTATAAAATTGTACATCACATAAATTTATTATTATTTACTTATTTATTTATTACATTTTATATATAATCATAAAGATTCTTTTTTCAAAAAAAAAAAAAGTGTATGCTAATTTTTTTCTTCTATTTATGTAAAATTATATTTATATAATTTCTTTAAAATTATATCCTATACTATATACATATTAAAAATCTAAAATGAACATATATCAATTAAAAATCAATATACACACTTTCTGCCTACACTTCTCATACTCACTATACTGCGTTTCATTAATGATGTGATATATATACACTAAAAATAATATAATATAAATAATATTTAAATATTTTTCTAATATACACTAAAAATAATATATATTTTTAAATATATTTTTTAATTAAAACTTTAATTAGTTCTCAAAATTACATAGAAAATTAATAATATTTACCCTTCAATTACTTGTATCTAAAGTGTAATTGTTTGTGTAACGACCCCGAAAATATTAAAATGGAATGAGTATTTAAACACATAAAATGCGGAAGCGAGATCAAAATTTCAGTTAACATCCCTTACACGAAAACTAAAAACGTACTTAAAATATAAAGGATTAAACTAACTAAAAGAGAAACTCGAAAATAAAACTATGAGTATGACTACAGAGTCTCTAGGCATCCCCTTCGTCGTCCTCATGCGGAACGGGCTCGGGAACCATGTCTTCCTGATCTGAAATGGTTAAATAAGGAGTGAGCTACACTAGCCCAGTAAGAACATCACGATATCTCACCGTCACGGAGGTAAAGGTGGGTAGAAAAACACAAAAGACCAATGGAGCATGATTTACAACAAATCCTTTTATTTATGATAAAACCTTTACCATCCACTTACCTCGTTGGAATTTATGAAACAATATAAGAAAAACAATAATATTATCACAATCATGGAATAATATAAGCTGTAAAACATAGCACTTATCACGCCTTTTGTAATTCAATCATTATACAACATATCCTTTTCTCATTTACCAGCCCACTAGTATCCATGGGGGTCCATAGGGGTCCCGCTACCCGTTAACCTTTAACATTCATAATCAGTTTTCAGGGCCGTCCCCATACCCCGTCCGGTATGGGCGCCAAAACCATAAACCTCAATACCTCGTCCGGTATGAGGGTGAAACGGGCCGTCCCCATACCCCGTCCGGTATGGGCGCCAAAACACATAAGATCTCCATACCCCGTCCGGCATGTGAGACCCCAATCCCGGTAGGGTTCCCTACGGACCCGGTCCGTCCACCATCTCCCAGGATATCTAGTCAGGCTGACCCCACCATACAGTTATCAGTCTACACAATCTTTCATTTTCCTCTTCCTCAGTAAGTATTATCAATTCACATTTTAAACAAGCAAATCGTAATTCATGCCAACAGACAACATACGGTATCAGTTTTTCAGTCATTCAACCCATAACCAATAAAAACGTAATATATGCACACGAAACTATAAAATAAACACATCAAACCTCATACTGCATTTAAAGCTGTAAAACAGGCCAAATAACAGTAAATCATCAATCACACTAGACTCGGGCTCCATTAGCAACCTTAAGCAATTTCACACATTCGTTAATTCAAGAAATACCGTTTTATCATTTTGAACTTTAATACCGTGATAGGAAATAGGGTGAGGGGTCCTTACTTATTTTCGGGATCCGAATATGATTCACAGTGCGCCTACAGGCCGTCCCTAATTTTCCCTGAATTTTTCCCGGGGAACTGAAACACACTAACGGTACCTGCACGTGTTCCAAAAAATCTCAAATTAGGCTCAGGGCCCCTTTTTGGCCAATATCGCAACTCCAGCACGGCGGCAATTCGCCTCGGGTTGGCTGTTTTCGGCCGTTTCCGGTCGAATTTGGCCACACTCGCATCGGTCCCTGCAAGAAAACAACCCTAGGGCCCTCGGGGGGCCAAAAAATCACGGAGAAGCGGAGCTTACCGGCGGCGGTGCTCTCGGGTGCGGCGGCTCTCCGGCGAGGTTCGGGGTTTGGTGATTCGGCTCCGGTCAACCTGTAGAGAAAAGAATGGTAATCACGGTGATATAAAAATTGCATCAAACGGAGGCCGGGAAGGGCCTCGTCGGAGGCAAAAACCGAGAGGGGGCGCGGCGGCGCCGCTGGTCTTCGGCCGCGTATTCCGGCCGTTTGGCCGGGATTTTGGCTTCGATTTAGCCACAGGAGGAATCAGCGTGGAAAAACGAGTCGGGGGTATGAAATTTACCTCGATCGGCGGTCGAAAATTTCCCCGGTGCGGCGGCGGGTGGCGGCGGTCGGCCTCTGGTTCGTCTTCTCCGACGAGCGGCAGGCGGCTAGGGTTTGTGGTCTGGTGTGGGGGTTCTATTTATAACCCATTGCCTTTTGATCTCAGCCGTCCATTTCGTTTTAATCTGGGCCGTCCGTGCGATTGCATCTGGGCCGTCCGATCGCGCGATTGATCTGGGCCGTCGGATCGCACCCACGCGGATCGCCAACGTGGCCCCTTTTCGGAGCGACGTGGTCTTGCCACGTGGCAGGCCCCGGTTGGCCGGGACTGCTGACTGGGCCTGCTGACGTGGCTGCCGACGTGGCTTTTTTTTTTTTTTTTTCCTTCTCCTTCTCGGACCGGGCGCTACAACTCTCCCCCCCATAAAGAAATTTGGTCCCCAAATTTGCCTCATTACTCTTGATCAAACAGATGGGGATACTGAGCCCTAAATTCTGATTCCAGTTCCCAAGTCGCCTCCCTGGGCGTGTGGTTCTGCCACATGACTTTTACAAATGATATTTTCCGGTTGCGGAGTATTCTGCTTTCTCGGTCCGTGATACTGACCGGTACTTCTTCATAAGACAAGTCCTCTCGGAGTGGAAGCGGTTCGTGAGCCAAGACATGAGAAGGGTCCGGATTGTACTTACGTAGCATAGATACATGAAACACATTATGAACCCGGGAGAGCTCAGGAGGCAGTGCAAGTCTGTAGGCAGTGGTACCAATCTTGTCTAAGATTTCAAAGGGTCCAATATATCTGGGGTTTAATTTTTCCCTCCTGCCGAACCTGCTAATTCCCTTGAAGGGGGTGACTTTAAGAAACACCCGATCGCCTTTCTCAAAGGCCAGGTCCCTTCTCCGGGTATCGGCATAACTTTTCTGCCTACTCTGAGCTGTCTGGATGTTCTTCTTGATCTTAACTATCTTGGACGTGGTTTCTTCTACCAAATCCGGGCCAAACAATCTTCTATCGCCCACTTCCTCCCAACAGATCGGCGACCTGCACGGACGCCCGTATAGCGCCTCGTATGGGGCCATGCCGATGCTTGCTTGGTAACTGTTGTTGAAGGCAAACTCTATCAGGGGTAGGTGGTCGTCCCAATGGCCCCCGGAGTCAAGGACACAAGCTCGGAGCATATCCTCCAGCGTGCGAATTGTCCTCTCTGATTGTCCATCGGTTTGGGGGTGGAAGGCAGTACTAAGAGACAGCTTTGTTCCCATAGCTTGCTGGAAACTGTTCCAAAACCGAGAAGTGAATCTGGGATCCCTGTCGGATACCACTGTTACTGAAACTCCATGTAGTCTGACTACCTCCCGGATATACATTCTTGCCAGCTTGTCCAAAGGATCAGTCATTCTGATGGCCAGGAAGTGGGAAGACTTAGTGAGTCGGTCAACAATTACCCATATAACATTATGTCCCGATCGTGCCTTGGGTAGTCCCGATACGAAGTCCATGGTGATATGTTCCCACTTCCACTCTGGAATCGGTAAAGGCTGAAGTAACCCGCCCGGGCGTTGATGTTCTGCTTTGACCTGCTGACATACCAAGCATTTAGATACAAAGTCGGCTATATCTCTCTTCATCCTATTCCACCAGAACCGAGGTCGCATAGTTTGGTACATTTTCGTACTTCCTGGATGCATGGCGAACCTTGAACTATGGGACTCTGTCATGATGTCTCTTCTTAACTCACTGTCGTTTGGGACACACACTCTGTCCCTGAAACGAATCAATCCGTCGGCGGAGATCTGAAATTCTGAGTTCACTCCCTGTCCTGCATCCTTCTTGCGGGTTACTAGGGCGGGGTCGATTTGACTGGGCTTCCTTTATTCTTTGGATTAACTCGGGTTGGACTGCTAGGTGGCCCAAACATGTGACTCTCTTCAGGTCTCGCAGGCGAACCTGCTGCGTAGCCCCAATAGACCTACATTCTGAAACCATCAGATGGGCCAGGGTGCCTGCACTTTTCCTGCTGAGGGCATCGGCCACCACGTTGCCCTTACCTGGATGGTATAGGATGTCACAATCATAGTCCTTGAGGAGTTCCATCCACCTTCTCTGACGCATGTTGAGATCCTTCTGGGTGAAGATGTGCTTCAAACTCTTATGATCGGTGTAGATCTGAAAGGTCTCTCCATACAAATAATGGCGCCAGATTTTCAGGGCGTGTATGATTGCGGCAAGCTCCAAGTCATGGGTAGGATAGTTCTTCTCATGATTCTTTAGCTGTCTAGACCCATATGCTATAACCTTTCCATGCTGCATCAGGACACAACCCAGGCCCAGATAGGAGGCATCACTATAAACTGTATATCCCCCTGATCCACTCGGTAGAGCCAGCACGGGTGCAGTAGTCAGTCGCTTCTTCAATTCTGAAAAACTCCTTTCGCAGTTCTCATTCCAATCAAACATTATATTCTTCTTTGTGAGACGGGTTAGAGGAGCCGCTAGACTGGAGAACCCTTCGACAAA